CTCGCACTGCCCATTTTCAATCATGTTTGGCATGACCTTCTCTGGAAATACTCTTTCTTTTCGGGACTTCCTACCATGCATTGTAGCCACCTTAGTGATGGAGCACATCTTGCTTGCTTCCTGAGACTACAGAGGCTGTTTCCTCACCTTGTGGCTCAGTGTCTCGTGAATGTTCCTTGGATGCCTGCTTTTTGATTTGCCTGGTGTTCACATTCTGCCTACTTTGCTTGGCTCTTTTAGATTCTTGTCAGCGCTACTCTTACCCTATTCACAACCCCAAAGAACTGTCCCCTGGATTATATTTTATTATGTAAACTCATGGCTCCATGATCCTACCAATGATTAAGCTCCCATGCTCAGATGACTCACTGAGACCCTTAAAAATTTTTAATTTTTATTTGTATAAGTTTATGTGGTACAAGTACAATTTTGCTACATGCATAGATTGTGTAGTGGTTAAGTCAGGGCTTTAGTGTATTCATCACCTGAATAAAGTACATTATACCCGCTAAGTAATTTCTCATCACTCACGTCCCCTACCTCTTCACCTTTTAAAGTTTCCACTCTCTACACCTGTGTATACATTACTTACAAGTCAGAACATGGAATATTTGTCTTTATGTGTTGGATTAGATTCACTTAGATGATAATCATCTAATTCATATTAGATAATGACCTCTAGTTCCAGGTCTGCTGTTGCAAAAGCCATGATTACTTTTTTTTTTTGAGTCAGAGTCTCACTCCGTCGCCTAGACTGGAGTGCAGTGGTACGCTCACGGCCGCCCCGGCGTCAACCTGCTGGGCTCCGGTGATCCTTCCACCTCAGCCTTCCAAGGAGCTGAAACTACAGGCATGTGCTACCATGCCCAGTTCATTTTTTATTTATTGTAGAGACTCGCCAAGTTGCCCAGGCTGATCTCAAACCCACAGACTCAGACAATCGACTCACTTCGGTCTCCCAAAGTGCTGGGATTACAGGCTGAGTCACCAAGCCTGGCCCATGATTACATTTTTTTATGGTAGAATCGTGTATGTATATCACATTTTCTTTATCCAACCATTCATTGATGGACACTTAAGTTGATTCCATATCTTTGTTATTGTGACTAGTGCCACAATAAACATAGGAGTGCAGGAATCCCTTTAAGACACTGATTTCTTTTCCTCTGGATAAATGCCTAGTAGTGGCATTGCTGGATGAAAGGATAGTTCTCTTTTCAATTCTTTGAGAAATGTCCATACTGTTTTCCATAGTGGCTGTGCCAGTTTTTATTCCCACTAACAGTGTCTATGAGTTCCCTTTTCTCTGCATCTGCACCAACATCTGCTATTTTTTGGTCTTATTTTTAATAATAGCCACTCTCACTAGGGTGAAATGATATCTCATTGTGTTTTTGATTTGCATTGATCTTATGATAAGTGATACTGAGCATTTTTTCATATGCATATTGGCCATAAATTTAGGAGAGAGAAACTATTCAATCAAAGATAATGATGAAAGTGCACATTAACTGCAAGGATAGCACACTACAGAGGATAATATATTTTGCTCACACCAAGATTTTGAGCCATTTAAAGGAAAGCATGGTAAAATAAAAGGGGAGAGTTTTCTTTTAAGCATAATGGAGAATATGTATGAATCACAGGATCTGCTTGAACTTGGTTGTATCATATCTGTTTCAGTCATGCTCAGTACTGGAAAATACTCCAAAGCAGAGATTATAATGACAGGGGTCTTGGATTCAGCTCTGTTGCAAAGCTCATTATATAAGAGGGGCCCTCCTAAAAATGGAATTATCTTTTGGAGGATGGGCTCCTTGTAGTACAGGCTTCCCCTATTAGGTAAGTGTTCTTAGAACCCATCAGCATCACCGTACCAGCTAGTGTTGTTGTGAGAGGCTGCATTTGGCTTCAGTAAATATTTTTTTTTTTTTTTTTTTGAGATTCATTCAATACGTTTGCCCATTTCATGACAGGTGATTTACAAGCACACCTGCCCACACCACACCGAGTGTTCAGCGGTTTTTGGCCACAAACAGCATTACCCCCTTGTCCCACCCTCCCTATTCACCTGATCTAGCCCTAGTGACTTTTTAAAATTTCCCTAAATGAAATAAGTCCTCAAAAAGAAACCCTCTGCTAATGTGGAAGAGGTGGGGGGGGGTGCGGGGGAAACGGCAGAAATTCTAAAGTTGACAAATTCAAAACACTGTTTTGAGCAGTGGAAAAAGCATCTTGACAGGTGTATTGCACTAAACGGAGAGTACTTTGAAGGTGACTGAAATTTAAACATGCAAGAATAAATATACCATTTTTTATAAATAAATCCTGGTTTTGGGGGTATCCCCTCTCTTATGACCTGGGCAAATCAGTTAAACTCTCTTCTCAGTTCTTTAAGTCAAGAATATACAGTATGTTTACCTCATCAAAAGATGTCAAGTTCACATTAAATATCAATATCTGTATGGCAATGCAAATTAAAATCCATAAATCTATGTGTCTCAAAGTAGACTTGGGTGGTTCCTGGCATCTGTCTCCCAAGGAGCAACCAAACCAAACCCATTGCAAATATTTTTCTCTTTTTATAAGCTCCATAGGGAGGAACTGAGAAATCCTAGATCCAGCTATATAAGGCTGAAGCAGCTTTTCCAAAGGTCAACTTATAAAAACTTAAAAAAGCATTGTTGAGGCTAGTTTGGTAGAGCATGATCAAGGATATTAGAAGAATTATCAAAATCTGAAATGTACTTGTGAAACAGGCCTTGATTCTTGCTTTTAAAAAAATAATAAAACTGGAAGGATTGATGGACATGCTTAAATGTTTTTCCCCACCTATGTGGGGCAGTATGGAAACCCATGGGAGGAGCCATGGGGCAAGCAGCTACTGCTTCTTGTGGGCAGTGGTGTAGCTGTCCTGAGTGCCTGCTCTTCCTGGCACTGTTGCTGTCAGATCAATAATACAAATCCCAGTGGACTTAAACCTGTGACTAGAATTGTCTCTTTGTCATTCTATAATGTAATCAGTACTATTGTCTTGCCTCCATTATACCTGAGGTTTTTCTTTTTACTTAATTCAGCATATTTTAAGTACCTACTATGTATGAGATACTACAAGAGGGCACCCAAAAAACTCAGAATGTATGTATAAAACATTGTGTATTTATTCTTACATGTTTAAACTTCAGTCACCTTCAAAGTATTCTCCATTTGATACCTGTCAAGATGCTTTTTCCATTGCTCAAAACAGTTTTTGAACTTGTCAACTTTGGTATCTTTTAGTACATCTGCCGTCTTTTGTTTCACCTCGTCCACGTCAGCAAAATGTTTCCCTTTGAAGACTTTTTTCATCAGGGAAACAAAAAAAAAAAAATCGCACTGGGTGAGATTGGGTGGACAGGGAGGTTGGGACATGGGCATCATGCCATGTTTGATCAAAAACTGCTGAACACAGCAGGGTGTGGGCAGGTGCACTCGTAAATCACCCATCATAAAATGGGCAAGAATTTTCAAACAAAAAATTCACTGAAGCTGAACGCAGTCTCTCACAACAATGCTAGCTGGTACACTGATGCCAGTGGGTTCTTAGAACACTTACCTAATGAGGAAAGCCTGTGCTATAGGATGCCTGCCCTCCCAAATATAATTCCAGTTTTTTGGGGGTCCCCCTCATGTGTGCTTGAATCCTGATAATTGGGTCTTGATGACCAAGGCTCAATTGGAAACTAAGAAGTTCAACACTCCATTGATGTCTGTCTACTTCCAATCATTCACATATATGACTTTATTCATTCTTTCTCTTCTCGGGTATTTATTGTACATTTACTAGAATTTGACTCATAAAGTCTCAGGACATTCAAATCATCTAATCTACTATAGAGAGCATTTCATGTCTCTTTCCTATCTCTGCTTGAGCTGATAACCCTAGTTTGTGATCCAGGCCCCTCCTTAAGGTGGAGTTGGCTTGCCTGCCACTTCTATACCCGCTAAAACAAGCAGAAGGTTGTGAATCCATACCAAAAGTATACAGATTGCAACTTATACCTACAATTTATTTTGGTACAGAGGAGAAGTAAACCAGCAGCACGCTGGTGGCTTCCGAAGAAAGCTTCAACACCCAGCTCACCAGAGTTTCTATGTATGGGATTGAACAGAGTCTTAAACCAAAGGTATGAGAATATTTGCAAAATTGGGTGGGTGAGGGAAAGTAACATTTATTATTGGGTGGAGAAACTGCTAATGTCCATGTATAAACTGGGGATCTGAGACAGGATGCACTTCTGTGGTAGAGTAAAAATTTTGAGGGACAGAAAATTTTAGAAGGACAGCATTCAAGCAATCCGATTTTAAAAGATAACTTAAAATATCAATACAAAGACACATTAAGGTTACTCACCGAAAAACACTAATAAAGTCTGAACATTTTTTAAGGAAAGCAATAAATGAGTTTGAAAATGTTTTTTTCAAGCTTTATAGGTGCTAAAAAGGTTGGTAGAATAAGAAAGGAGAACATATCAACAGACTGAGACTGGAAATTGGAAAACTCCAGTCAAAAGGCACCGTCATAATGTAGTTCTCAGTGGCAATATTTGTTGGAGCGTTTTGTATCTGCTCTTTGTATTTAAGGGAAGAGAGTGGGGAAACTTCTCGTTGGGTGACAAATATCCTGGAGACTTCACCTAGATGGGTGCAACCCTGTATGCTTCAGGCCCATAGCTGCTCAGTTCCTCAGAGTTCATGGTGGGTTCCATGGAATATCTCTTCTGTAGATGTATAAGTTGATAGCCAACAAGATAGTAGCTGGGAGATACCAAGAGTAGTCAGGAGGGTCAATGTTTAGTTCTGGGAGTAACTTACCTGAGGATAAAAATGGCCAGGAGTCATAAAAAAAATTCACGTCTCCCTGTTTGTTTTCTTTTCTGTTTTGTTTTGTTGTAGTGTGTGTATGTATGTGTGTGTGTATGTGTGTGTATATTTGTATTGCCTCCTGTAGGATCCTAATCATGAAAGCAAGTATGACCAACTGTAAGTCACTGTTGGTACTATTGTTCATATTAACCTTCTGGATCACCTTTATCATTTTGCAAAACTCAGCAAAGGTAGGAAATGCTTTCTTTTGATGTTCTACAAAAGCTTATTTTCACTTGATAACTCACCTATTCTAGAAAAATCCAGACTACAAGATCCGTAGATAGTAGGAGGAGCATTTCAATAGCTTAGACACCATTCAAGAACCAACGTACCTGACAATCATTAAGTAATATGTGAGGATAATAGTATATGTGTTCACACACACACATACGCACACACACACATTCTTCCTTGGTCACTTATATATGCATTGCTACTATCTTCTCCCAGGGTTTAGTTTTCCTTTTCACTTTCTTTAAGGGAACTTCTAAAGAACAGAATATTTTCGTATTTGTATAGTAAAACTTATCTGCCTTTTTTTTTATAGCTAATGCTTTTTGAGGATTAAGAAATTCTTCCTATTCCAACATCTGACTAGTTATCTAAATATTCTACTAAAACGTTAAAAGGTTGCTTTTGACATTTAATGCATTTCTTTTGACTGGGTTAGGTTTTGTGCTGATTTCTCTTTTCCATAGGGATAATCACTTTTCAGTTCCTTTTATTTTGTAGTCCTCTCAGACTGATGTGCCATGCTATTTTTGTCATTATATAAAGGCTTCAAATAAGTGAAGGTCCTTTTCTGGGCTCTTTGTTCTATTCCACTGACCAATTTGTCTTCCCTGTGCCAATACCACATTGTTGTAATTAACATAGATTCATAATTAGTCCTGAAAAGTTGTAGGTATAGTTACCATTTCATTTTATTCCTGTTGTATTTTTGATATGTTAAAATATTTTTAACAAAAACATTTTTATTTGTCAAACAATGTAGTAATAACAAACACTTGGTATGTACCAAGTACCATTCTAAATTCTTATGGTGAACTTATGTTATCCCATTGATCCTCACACTAACCACATAAGGTCTTTATTTTTATGAACTCATATTTGGATAATAAAAATGATTCACAAAAGGGTTAAGGAAATTCTTTGCAGCAACTTGGGTGGATTTAGAGTCTATCATACTCCGTGATCTATCATAGAAACAAAGAACTGAGCCCCACATATTCTCACTCATAAGTGGACCCTGAACATTTACCATAATACTATAAGAAAGGAATTGGCAGTGGTGGGATAGTGCCAAGACTGGGGGTGGGGGAGCACAATATCAATAAGGGTACCTGATCTCAAACCAGGCAAAATGGGGATCAAAGGGAGGTCCAAGCTTTACCTGTATGATGTCCACTTGTATACCTAATCCTGAATTGTACTCCATATCTTTAAAATAAAAAATATATTTTTTTAAAAGCTTAAGGAAATTATTCAATGTCATTTAGCTAATCAGTAGAAGAGTCAGCTTTTGACTGCAGGTAGATATTTCTAAAAATGAGCTACTTAGTATAGTGAGCATGCAGTAAGACTAGAATTATCATGCATTGCTGGTCTGGATACAAATTGGTACCATATTTTTGGGAAACACATTCACAGCATGTATCAGTGTTCACCACATTTTACCAATCATTCTATTTATGATATTCTCAGTAAATCTCTAGAGTGGCAAATAAATATTTATATCAAGAGATGTTCTTTACAAAATTATCTATAATAGAAGAAAGCTGAAAGCAATAAATGTCCAAAAAGATGGAAATAGATAAAATATTAAAGTGTATTTGTAGGTTGAAATATTATGTGGGACTTTACTATAAGGTGGAGAGTTTTTAATGACACTGTTTAAAAATAAAAATTCAATGATAAATATTCCAGTTTGTTCACGATCATCTAAAGTTATACAAGGAATGAGAGAAATTCATCAAAATGTTAACAGCAGTTGTTAATGGTTGGTGTGACTATGGCTGATTTTATTTCCTGTACAGTGTCAGCATTCTCTAATTTTTAATAATAAATCAATGCTATGATACATAAATATTTTTACAACCTATGTTTCTGTATCTCTTGTGTTCACAAAAATAATTTGAAATATACTAATAAATATCGCAGAATGTTCAAGAAAATTATAAAATAGAAAAAATAGATAATCATATTTTACATGAAATCACCATGGATCTTGAACTTTTTATTTTTTATTTTTAATATACAAATTAAAATTATGTATATTCATGTGTACAAAGAGTTGTTTTGAAATATGTATACAATGTGGAATAGTTAAATCATGCAAATTAATATATGCATTACCTCACATACTTCATTTTTTTGTGGTGGGAACACAAAATCTCTGTTAGCAATTTTCAGGAATACAATACATGGTTATTAATTATACTCACCAGGTTAGATAATAGATCTCTAGAACACACTTCTCCTATCTAACTGAAATCTTGTATTCTTTGACCAATATCTTTCCCATTCTCCTCCCAGCCCCCCCGGTAACCACCATTCTACTCTCTATTTCTGAGTTCAAATTCTTTAAATTCTGCATATAAGTTAGAACATGCAGTTTTGTATTTCTGTTACTGGCTTATTTATCCTTACATTATGTCTTCCAAGTCCATCCAGGTGGAAGCAATGACAGGATCTCCGGGTTTTTAAAGGCTAAATAGTATTCTGTTGCTTATATACCACATTTTCTTTATCCATTCTTCTGTTGATGGACACAAGTTGTTTCCATATCTTGCTTGTTGTGAATAATGCTGCAATAAACATGGAAGAACAGATATCATTTCAACATACTGATTTCTTTTCCTGTGGTATGCCCAGTAGTTGAATTGCTGGATAATAGATAATGTGGAAGTTCTATTTTTCATTTTTAAAAGAGCCTCTATATTGCCGGATGCAGTGGCTCATGCCTGTAATCCCAGCACTTTGGGAGGCGGAGGTGAGAGGATTGCCTGAGCCCAGAAGATTGAGAGCTGTCTGGGTAACTTTGACAAGACCTAGTCTCTACAATAAATGAAAAAATTAGTTGGGCATGGTGGCCTGCACCTGTAGTTTCAGCTACTTGGAAGGCTGAGGCAGAAGGATTGTCTGAGCCCAGCAGGTAGAGGCTGTGGTAGCTGTGACCATGCCATTGCACTCCAGCATGGGCAACAGAGTGAGACCCCAACTCACGCTGTTCTTCATATCAGCTGTATTAATTTACATTCCAACCAACAGTATGCAAGGATTCCCTTTTTCTCCACCTCTTTGCACCACTTATCTTTTGTCTTTTTAATTGCCATTCTAACAGGTGTGAGGTCATCTCTCACTGTGGTTTTAATTTGAATTTCCTGGATAATTAGTTGTTGGGAGTCAGCCTTGGAGGTCCGCCCGTTGACAAAGTCCGGGCAGGCTGAGGACCCTAGGACTGCAAAGCAAGTCTGGGGGTTGGTTTCCATTGTCTTCCACCTTTTCTGACACAATTAGCCAAGAAGAATCCTGCACCATCAAGCATGAAGAAAACAGCAAGTTAAGCATACACAGCTAACTTTAGAATATCATTGTTCCTATTTTTCACTTCTCACTATGTGGTTTGACCTTTCCCTTTTTGCCCATGTGATGCTTAAGCTCTGAGGCACATCAAAAGGGGCTTTCTTTTGTTTGGTCATGGGTTACAGGTCTTCTTTTGGGGTTAGAATTTGTGACTCATACCAGGAAAATAGAGGTTTCTGATTTTGTTTAGGCAAAGAATTGTTTTGAATATTTGTTATTTGTAGTTCTAGTTATGGTGTTTAGATATGGGGCATAAGATTTAAGTGTAATGAGAGTTTATATTAGGGTATATATAGGTGATTTATAAATTTGCGCTGGGCTCGGTGGCTCAACCTGTAATCCCGCAGCTTTGAGAGGCTGAGGTGAGTGGATTGCCTGAGCCCACGGGTTCGAGACCCACCTGGGCAGGCGAGACCTCATCTCTACAATAAATAAATAAAAAAAAAATTAGACAGGCGTGGTAGCGCGCGCCTGTAATTCCGGCTACTTGGAAAGCTGAGGCGGAAGGATCGCCAGAGTCCAGCAGGTCGAGGCTGCGGTGGCCAGGAGCGGCCACTGCACTCTAGTCTGGGTGACAGAGTGAGACTCCAACTCAAAAAAAAAAAAAAAAAAAAAAAAAAAAAATATATATATATATATATATATAAATTTGTTTTTAGGGGTTTGGGATATATGAAAGTTTTAGTATATAAGAAGTTGAAGGGTTTAGATGTAGAATTTAAGTAAGTGAAACAGATTTTTTATCTAACAACCGAAACTACCTTGAGACCTCAATAACATCACTGGAAGTTTTTTCTGAGCTGTTTTCCTTAGGAATAGGATGTTTCAGATAGGGAAGACAATGAAGGAATTCGAGCAAGAGGAAACTACCAGGGGGCTTAAAGGACCAAGAGTGTTTTGAAAAAGAAACTCCTCATCCATAAAAAAAAGGAGCATCTGCGACAGGTGTTTTGGGAGGGTCTCCAGGTACACATTCCTCTGCGCAGATGGAAGTATTCTACACATGAACTGCTCCAAGCCCTTGGGCCAGAAACTGCTGTTCTGGCCCCCAGAGACTTTTATTATGGAAAAACTTGTTTTCCTAGATAGTTCAAATAAGGAAGTTAAGTTTATAAAGAATTAGAATTGTTAGAAAAATTATAATATGTATTAGTTAATTTGGGATATAAGTTTTGTTTTAAATAGTTATTCAATGAAAAACTTTATAATTTTATATGAGTTTTTAGTTTATAATTTTAAGGTTCTATATTAACAGATTGTGGAGACTGTTTTTACTTCAAGATAACATCGCTGTTTGAAATGGTGTTGTTTTGGGGTGGAGATAGTCTCTGCCCTTAGAGAGAACATTAGCCAAACACGGAGAAGAATACTTAAACTTTCCTTTAAGCATCATTTTAACATCACAAAAATTCATGTAATTTATTGTAAGTGATTTGTTTTGTAATGATGATTTTAACTTGCTTTGTAACAATGACTTGCAGAAATTATTTCCTTGTAAAAAGAAATATAAGCTCACTGTTAATTGGCAATAAACGGCATCTGCTCTACTCTTAGTATAGTGTCCAAGCCCCTCCATTCACACAGCGCCGACGCCGTCTCCACCTACAGGAATCTGGACTCCACTGGAGCAGGACTCCGGCAATTAGTGATATTGAGCTTTTTTTTTTTCATGTACCTCTTGACCATTCGAATGCCTTCCTTTGGGAAATGACTATTTAGATTCTTTGCTCATTTTTTAGTCAGGATATTTGGTTTAATATTATTAAGTTGTTTGAGTTTCTTATATATTTTGGATATTAACCCCTTATCAGATGTTTAGTTTGCTAATATTTTTCCCAATTCTGTAAACTGTCTTTTCAGTTCATTGGTTGTTTCCTTGGTTGTGCAGAAGCTTTTTAGTCTGATGTAGTCTTATTTGTCTCATTTTGTTTTTGCTACATATACTTTTGTGCTTATAGTCAAAAAAATCATTGCCCAGATCAAGGTCATGGAACTTTTCTCCAATTTGAGGTCTTGCATTTAAGTCTTTATTTTGAATTGAAGTTTGTATAAGTTATTATATAAGAGTTCCATTACATCCTTCTGCATGACTCTACACAGTTGTTCCAATACTATTTACTGAAGAAACTGTTCTTTTCCCATTGTAAGATCCAGGCACTTTTTTCAAAAACTGATGGACTATAAATATATGGATTTATTTATAGGGTCTCTACTCTATTTTTGTTGTTCTATGTATCTGTTTTTATGCCACTGTCATGCTGTTTTGCTTTCTACAGCTTTGTAGTCTATTTTGAAGTCAGGTGGTGTGATGCCTCCAGCTTTGTTCTTTTGCTCAAGATTGCTTTGGCTATTCAGAGTCCTTTGTGGTTCCATATGAATTTTAGTTATTTCTATTTCCATGAAAAATGCCATTGAAATTTTGATAGGTATTGAATTGAGTCTATAGATTGCTTTGGGCATTATGTACATTTCAACAGTATAATTCTTCCAATCTATGTTCATGGAATATCTTTCCTCTTATGTGTTCCTTTTTCTGTTTATTTCATCAATGTTTTATAGTTTTCAGTACAGGTCTTTTACCTCCTTGGATAATTTATTTTTAACTATTATATTTTTTGGTAGCTATTATAAAATGAGATTGTTTTCTTGACTTATTTACTGGATATTTTGTTATTAATGTCTACACATGCTACTGGTTTTTATATGTTGATTTTATATCCTGAAACTTTACTAAATTTGTTCATCAGTTTTAACAGATTTTTGGTGGAATCTTTAGGGTTTTCTATATATAGGAAGATCATGTTGTCAGCAAACACGGACAATTCAACATCTTAATTTGAAATTTGGATTCCTTTTATTTCTTTCTCTTGCCTTATTGCTCTGACTAGAATTTCCAGTACATTGTTCCATAAAAGTGGCAAGAGTGAATGTCTTTGTCTTGTTTCTAATGTTAGAAAAAAGCTTTCGACTTTTTACCACTGCATATAATGCTGTGGGTTTGTCATATATGTCCTTTATTGTTTTGAGGTTCCTTTCTTCTATACCTAGTTTGTTGAGAGTTGTTATCATTAAAAGATGATCACTCACTCATAAGCAGACCCTGAACATTTATCATAATACAATGAAAAAGGGATTGGCAATAGTGGGACACTGCCAGGGGAGCAGGAGGTCATATAACATCAATAAGGGTACCTGATCTCAAACCAGGTGAAATGGAGACCAAAGGGAGGCCCAAACTTTATCTGTACAATGACCACTTGTACACCTTAATCTGAATTGTACCCCACATCTTTAAAATACAAAAATTAGGCAACAGGCACTCTTACTGTTGTCCTGCCTGTAGTGTCCTTCACAACATGTCTTTCCCTTAGTAAATCTTTCCTCAAAAAAATTAAAATAAATAAATAAAATAATTATTAATATATAATATATATATAAAGAAAAAAGATGATTGCATTCTGTTAATGTGATGCATCACATTTATAGATTTGTGTATGTTAATCCATCTTTGCATCCCTGGGATAAATCCCAGTTGATCATGGTGAATGATCCTTTTAATGTGCTGTTGAATTTGATTTGCCAGTATTTTGTTGAGAGTATTTGTATCTATGTTTCTTGGCAATATTGACCTGTAATTTTCTTTTCTTCTAGTGTTTTTGTCTGGCTTTGGTATCAGGGTAATGCTGGCTAGGTAAAATTAGTTTGGAAACACTTCCTCCTATTCAATTTTTTGGAAGAGTTTGAGAAGGATTGATATTAGTTCTTCTTTAGATGCTGGTAGAATTTATCAATGAAACCATCAGGTCCTGGGCTTTTCACTGGTGGGAGACTTTTTATTACTAATTCAATCTTCTTTTTTTGCTACTGGTCTGTTTGAATTTTCTGTTTCTTCATAATTCAGTCTTGGTAATTTTTATGTGTCTAGGAATGTATCCATTTCTTCTCATTAATACACCAATTTGTTGGTATATAATTGTTCATAGTAGTCTTTTATGTTCCTTTGTATTCCTGTGGTACCTATTGCAATGTCTCTTCTTTCATTTCTGATATTATTTTTCATTTTTTTACTCTAGCTAAGGTTTCTTAATTTCATTTGTATTTTTTTAAAAACCAATTCTTAGTTTCGTTGATCTTTTCTATTGCTTTTTGTCTTTATTTTATTTATTTCTGCTCTGATATTTATCATATCCTTCCTTCTGCTAACTTTGAGCTAGTTAGTTTTTATTTTTCTGTTTCTTGAGTTGTAATATTAGATTATTTATTTGAGGACTTTCTTATTTATTTTGATGTAGGCATCTATTGCAATAAACTTTCCTCTGAGGACTGCTGCATCTATGAATTTTGTTGTGTTGTGTGTTTGTTTTCATTTGTTTCAACATATTTTCTAATTTCCCTTTTTATTTCACCTTTGACCCACAAGTTGTTCAGGAGCATGTTATTTAATTTACATGTATTTGCAAATTTTTCAAAATTCCTCCTACTATTGATTTCTTGTTTCATACCATCATAGAATAAAAAGACATTTGATGTGATTTTAATCTTCTTCAATTTGTTAAGACTTGTTTTGTAGTTTAACATATGATCTGTCCTGGAGAATGTTCTGAGTGCTCTTGAGAAGAATGTGTATTTGGCTGCTATTTGATGAAATGTTCTGTATAAGTTTGTGAGGTCTGTTTGGTCTAAAGTGTAATTTAAGTCCAATTTTTAAAATTGATTTCCTGTTTGAGTGATCTGTCCTTTGACGAAGTGGGGTACTGAGGTTCCCCAACCATTATTGTTCTCCTAATATTTCCTTGATATATTTAGGTGTTCCAATGTTGAGTGTATCTACATTTATAATTGTTATTTTCTCTTGTTAAATTAGCCCTTTTATCTCTGTATAATGGCCTTCTTTGTCTCTTTTTAGAGTTTTTGACTTAAAGTCTACTTACTTGATATAAACTTAGCTACTCCTGTTCTCTTTTGGTTTCCATTTGCATGAAATATCTTTTCTTATCCCTCACTTTCAGCCTATGTGTGTCTTAAGTTGAAGGGAGTCTTATGTAGATAACATACAGTTGGGTCTTGTTTTTAATAATTTATTCAGCCACTTTATGTCTTTTCTTTTCTTTTCTTTTTTTGAGTTAGAGTGTCGCTCTGTCATCCAGGCTAAAGTGCAGTGGCATGCTCATTCACCATAGACTCGACCTGCTGGGCTCAGGTGATCCTTCCACCTCAGCCTTCCAAATAGTTGGAACCACAGGCACATACCACCATATCTGTCTAATTTTTTTGATTTACTATAGAGATGAGGTCTCACCATGTTGTTTAGGCTGGTCTTGAATCCCTGAGCTCAGGCAATCCTCTGGCCTCCACCTCCCAGTGCTGAGATTACAGGCATGTGCCACCACACCCAGCCACTTTATGCCTTTTCATTGGAGAATTTAATTCATTTACATTCAAGGTAATTATTAATAGGTAAGGACTTACTACTACCATTTTTTTAGTTGTTTTCTGGTTGTTTTGTACATCCTTTTTTTTTCTTCCTTTCTTACTGTCTTTCTTTCTGATTAAGTGATTTTCTCCAGTGGTGGGCATTGATCCTTTACTTTTATCTTTTGTGTACCTGTTACAAGTTTTTTTCTTAGTGGTTAGCATGAGGTTTACAAAAAGCATCTTATAGTTGTAACAGGCTATTTTAATCTATTAACTTACTTTTGGTCACATATTTTTAACTACACTTTCACTCCACCCCCTAAATTTTTGATGTCACAATTTACAACTTTATATATGAATATTGTGCCTCCCTTAACAAATTATTGTAGCTATTATTAATTTTTAGTAGTTTTGTCTTTCAATGTTCATACTAATGATATGTGATTTATATACCACCATTATACTATAAGAGTAATCTAAATTTGACCGTATATTTACTTTTACCAGATAGTTGTATACTTTCCTATGTTTTTGTGTTATTAATTAGCATCTTTTTCTGCTTGAAGAACTCTCTATACCATTGCCTAGAAGACAGGTCTGGTGGTGATAAACTCACTTGGATTTTGGTTGTCTGGGATTACACATTTCTACTAAATTTTAGTTCCAAGATTAAAAATAAAACAATAAGCATTTATTCTCTGCTGTGCAGTTGAAATATTTTCTCATTTTGTATTCACAATTGGCCTGTAAAGACGATTTTATCACTACCATTTTAAGGAAGAAGGTTTTAGGGCTCTTTGGGATAACTCTTCCAAAAAAGATTAGCCAGTGAGAAGTACAGTTCCACTAACAACTTTTCTAAAGAAAAATATTTTTATACAAAACATATATGGTCATAAAATCTCAGTATCATTTAATTTTTGAACCTCTCATTTTTCTATAAAAGACAAAATTTGGATAACTTGCGAAAAATTATTACACTAAATAGGAATATTTTCTGTGTTCTCTATTCAATTTCTTGTCATTTCAGTTACGGACCACACTCAAGTTGCCCATTTCTCTCCATCACTGGAATTTTATTGCAAAGCCCTCATACCCTGAAGCACCACTGTGTCCACTAGTATCAGCAGCAGAGACTGAGCTGAGAATAAAGGAAATCATAAAGAAACTAGACCAGGAGATCCCACCCAGACCTTTCACCCACATGAACACCACCACCAGCGCCGCACACAGCACAGTCTCCATCCTCAACCCTCGAGACACGTACTGCAGGGGGGACCAGCTGAATATCCTGCTGGAAGTGAGAGACCATCTGGGATGCAGGAAGCAATATGGCGGGGATTTTCTGAGGGCCAGGATGTCCTCCCCAGCCCTGGAGGCTGGCGCTTCAGGAAAGGTGACCGACTTCAATAATGGCTCCTACCTTGTCAGTTTCACGCTGTTCTGGGAAGGCCAGGTCTCCCTGTCTCTGCTGCTTATCCACCCCAGTGAGGGGGTGTCGGCCCTCTGGAGGGCAAGGAACAGGGGCTATGACAGGGTAATCTTCACGGGCCAGTTTTCCAGTCACACCTCCCAGGTCAGTACTGATTGTGCCCTGGTTTTGAACTCAAGTGCTGAACTATGTCAGTACCTGGATGCTCAAGACCAAGAAGCCTTCTACTGTGTGAAGCCTCAACACATGCCCTGTGCTGCACTCACCCACATGCATTCCAAGAACAAGGAAGTTTCTTACCTTAGCAAAGAAGAAAAGAGCCTCTTTGAAAGGTAATTAATTAGTTCTGGTGACTACTTAAGCAAATGTGATTTGTCCTACATATAGGTCTAAAAGAAAGTCCTATGACTATATCAACTTTAGGACTCTTTAACAAGAGCCTTTTGGGAAAAGATCTGTGAATTAATTTGGGGGTATTGCCCTCTCTCAAGTAGTCCACAGCTTTTTGGACATTTAATTGTTATCAATGAAATAAAAAAGATATAACAAAAATTTTAAAAGAATGAGAAATACACATGTTCTAGTATAGTCTTCCTGCATCCTGCATCTTAATAAATCACCTTGCACACCTCGTGGGTAACTGTATCCCATGGAGTAATGGGCAAAGAAATGGGAATTTACTAAATGACCTGAAACCATGGGTACAATAACTGACGTTATCACTAAGAAATCATTGAAACACTGAATAATCTGACTTCTTGTGTGTTTCCTGATTTGGGGCCCCACCTGCAGATTAATTTCTGTATTTGTCTTTTTAAGGTCAAATATAGGTGTAGAGATTATGGAAAACTTCAATGCAATTAGTGTCTCCAAATGCAACAGTAAGTACTCCTTTGTTTGACGGGTGGTATGCAGTTCTAGACCCACTTAAAGGCTTTCCTCTTTCTGCTGGATTTGTTCACTGTTACAGTCCTATCAGCACTCTGATCACTTGGTTTGTCTAAGGCAGGCCAAGATACCAGTTACCTATGTGAGTGACTTATGGGACTCACTAGAATATCATAAACCTCTTCTAGTAACTTGTAATTCTCATCACCAGTCTACTCATCAGACAACAGATGACTTGCCCATTTTACACCACTACCTTTCAACAATAAAACTCTTTCCCAATTCTATACCTAGTTCTTTTTTTATTATTTAATTTTTTATTATAAAGATGTGGGGTAAGATTCAGGGTCAGGTACACAAATGTTCATTATGCAGGTACCCTGTACCTAGTTCTTGATCTCCTCACTTCACCTCTCTCCATACCACTACCATCGTTACTTTCCACCTTACTATTATAGCCCATCACCATTTAGAGGTTTCCAACCTCCCATCAAGGAGTTAATTTATTACAACTCCCCCCCGCAGTCTTGGCCACTTTTCAAACCATTGTCAGCATACGAAATAGAACTTTCACACTTATATTGACTAATTTCTCTTCCATTTCTTTAGCTCTAAACAGCCTAGGAAATTCTCTTCTCAAATGATTTAAGGCAAGAGCTTTTCTGACTCTGTAAATTCAGCATTAAATGCTTGCTAATCACTAATAAACTTATCCATAGTGAAGTGCAAATATGTACCTAGATGTATAAATGTTATTTTGTACTCCGCATACAAGGGGGACCCAAAAAACCCCAGAATTGATTTATAAAAAATGTACATTCTCACATGTTTAAACTTCAGTCACCTATTGAGACTGCTCAAAACAGCTTTTGAACTCATCAGTTTTTATATCTTTTAGTGCTTCTGCTGCTTTTGTTTGTGTTTCAAAATGTTTCCCTTTGAAGACTTTTTTCATCAGGGGAAACAAAAAATGTCACTTGGGGTGAAATCGGGTGAATAGGGAGGATGGGGCATGGGGCTCCAGCAGTTTTTGACTAAAAACTGCTGAACACTCAGCGGAGTGCGGACAGATTTTCTTGTATACCCATCATGAAATGGCAAACGCGTTGAAAGAATCTCAAAAAAAAAAAAAAAATCACTGAAGCCAAACGCAGCCTCTCACAATAATGCTAGGTGGTACACAGATGCCTATGAGTTCCTACAACACTCACCTAGCAGGGGATATCATATATCACCTGTATTTAACTTAGAGGATTTATACTTTGATGGTGACATTTAAGATACTGGAGTGCGACAAACTTAGAGGTAAAGAGAGCTAAAATGAAAGGATAACTGAACTTCCATTATTATACAAGAATTGATTACTTGAATTTCATAGGAAGGCTAACAAATACTTGAATTTTACCTAGAAGGCCTTTTTTGGGGAGAGGGGTAATACACATGCTCTTTTTTTTTTTAAACATGTGCTTTTATAATGAACAATGATTAGTATCATTTAGAAAATAGTATTCCATTGAAGGAGATACTTCAATTAGATTTTTTCACCACTATCACCACCCTTACTTCCTATTAGAATGATAATTAGAAAAGACAGAAAGCTCTTAATAAACACTAATGGATAATTTGATGTTTTAGAAGATCGTATTTTGCTGATTCTTTGGCAGAAGAAACTGTTCCAAGAAAAGAGAAATGCAAGCTTGGAATGACATCCACAATTCCCAGTGGACATGTTTGGAAAAACACATGGAATCCTGTCTCCTGTAGTTTGGCTACAGTCAAAATGAGAGAATGCCTAAGAGGAAAGTTCATATATCTACTGGGAGATTCCACGATCCGCCAGTGGATGGAATACTTCAAAACCAGTATCAACAGTATGCCTCAAAGTTATTATTCATATCTCTTTCAGAAACTTCTTTTTCATATCAAAAGGGAGAAAGGAATATGGGAAATGCCTTTTCTTTTTCATATTACTTAATCACAACACACTCAAATTGTTCACAAGACATTGTTATCTTTCCTCTGGAAAAAAGGTCATCTGACTGCAAGGGAGCCTATGTAGAAAAAAGGTTTATTACATCCCTATGTCTGCAAAATACACACTTCAGTATGTATCCAGCATGCTCAGAAAATTATTGATGGAAGCTGGGCTCGGTGGCTCAGCCTGTAATCCCAACGCTTTGGGAGGCCAAGGTGAGTGGATTGCCTGAGCCCACAGGTTTGAGACCCACCTGGCAACTTGGCGAGACCTCATCTCTACAATAAATCAAAAATTATCTGGGTGTGGTAGCGCGTGCCTGTAGTTCCAGCTACTTGGAATGCTGAGGCAGAAGGATCGCCGGAGCCCAGCAGGTCGAGGCTGCGGTGGCTGGGAGTGTGCCACTGCACTCCAGTGTGGGCGACGGAATGAGACTTCAACTCAAAAAATATATATATATATTGATGGAGCCAAAGGTAATGTAAGATATTAAGTTATCCACCTTCTATAGTTAGCAGGATGATTAGGAGTGTGGATTGTAACCCAAATGACTGGGTTAAAACTTGACTTCTCCACACCCTATCTGGGTGACCTTGGACATGTTCTATAACCATTCTGTCTCTTGACAGCCTCTTCTGTCAAGAGGAGACGAAAAGAGTACCTGCCTGGTAAAATGATATAATATATGCAATGCTGTTTGTCACAAAGTAAGTTATCTTTGGTGGAAAGTATCCTCACAATTATCATTACCTGAGAGGGCAGATGCCAGGAGCAAGATAATGACTTTGCATCAGGTAGGCATGATGGTTAAGAGCATGGGCTTTGGGGTCTAACAGGTCTAGACTGTGCCATTTAGAAATGATCACCTCGGGCATGTTATTTTTTTCCTCTGGTTTATCTTATTCATCAGCCAACTAGGAATAATAACAATACTTAGTGTTTGCTTCAAAGATTAAATAAAGTAACAGATGAAAACTATTGAACATATTGCAAGACATACTGGCACATGGAAAGTGCTTCCAAAATGATAGCCATGGCGATTATTGTCATTAGTTATTTCAGAGTCGGAACTAGAATCCAGTTACTAGAATCCTAGTCCAGTTGCTGTTTACTAAACCAAGAGTGTGCCAGCAATAACTCAGAATCTGCTAATAGACCTTAGCAACCTCACCTAGAAAACTAACACTGTCTGCCCCTCTATGTTCCTGGGCCCTGGCTCTCATCACTGATAGCTGTGGTTCCATCAGGGCCTTCCTGACATGAGGTCACTCATGATCTCAAACTTAGAGGAACAACTGATCAAATAAAAACAGAAAAATTGGGTAGAGCCTTGGCTCTGAATTATAAGGAGACTTCTCAAAAGAAGGGAGAGTTTTAAATTGTGACCTCTAGTAAGTGACTAAACTCCTCAAGACCTCAGTTTCTTCAGCTATAATACAAAATTGAGGGTCTGGTGATAACCTTTAACATCACATTTTATAATGATGGTTCTCTTCGGTCATATTACGTACTGAGTTATGGAGTTACCCACTCTCCTCAACTCATCTTTTAAGTGTGGTAGGAAAGCATCTGTTGTACACTTTTTTAAAAGAGTTAAATCCTATAGTCAGAGTATGCTTCAGAAGAGAAAACTGAAGTTGGAAGCAGAGTGAAGAAAACAGTTCTGCCATTTTCTCCAACCAACTCTCCTGCATCTCTATTTTCCAGCCTCATTGGGTTAAGGTTCCAAAGGTAGCTCTTTACTTCTAAGACAGTCCATGTCACAGAGCACTGAAAATCCCTTTCTTTTTTTTTTTTTTTTGAGTCGGAGTCTCACTCTGTCACCCAGACTGGAGTGCAGTGGCCGCTCCCGGCCACCACAGCCTCGACCTGCTGGGCTCCGGCGATCCTTCTGCCTCAGCCTTCCGAGTAGCCGGAATTACAGGCATGTGCTACCACGTCCGGCTGATTTTTTGATTTATTGTAGATATGAAGTCTTGCTGCCCAGGCGGGTCTCGAACCCACGGGCTCAGGCAATCCACTCACCTCAGCCTCCCAAAGCGCGGGATTACAGGCTGAGCCACCGAGCCCGGCTCTTGAAAATCCCTTTCTATATGTTTTCCTCAGAAGTTCTATTACAAAGCAGTTGGCCCTGCTACTCTGATAAGAGTCCGATGAATATCATGAAAAAAATGAAAGGAATTCATTTTATTCTTTTCATATTGTGCTTTTTTTCCAATGTGCCAAGAACAGTTAGACTGCTGATTCTGTTTTTTACTAACTGTATCATCTTAGGCAGGTCTTTTTCTCTCTTGGTTTTCTTTTCTATAACATGGTAATTAAATAAATATTTATATATGTCATATGATTATATGTATATCATACATAATTATATATGAGAGAATATTTATTTTAATTTATTTTTATATATATTTTTGAGTTGGAGTCTCGCTCTGTTTGCCCAGGCTGGAGTGCAGTGGCATGATCATGGCTCACCGCAGCCTTACTTTACTGGGTTCAGGCTATCCTTCCACCTCAGCCTCCCAAGAAGCTAGGACTACAGGTATATGCCACCATGCTCAGTTAATTTTTTTATTATTATTTTTGTTTATTTATTTCGAGTTGGAGTCTCACTCTGTCACCCAGGCTGGAGTGCAGTGGCACGCTCACAGCCACTGCAGCCTCAACTTGCTGGGCACAGGTTATCCTTCCACCTCAGCCTTCCAAGTAGCTGGAACCAAAGGCATGCACCACCACATCTGGCTAATTTTTTTATTTATCATAGAGACAAGGTGTCACCATGTTGCTCGGGCTGGTCTCGTATCCCTGAGCTCAGGCAATCCTCTTGTCTCTGCCTACCAAAGTGGCGTGGTCAATTTTTAAAATTTTTTTGTAGAGACAAATGTCTTACTATGTTGCCTAGGCTAGTCTCAAACTCCAGGGCTCAAACAATCCTTTTCTCTTGACTTCCCAAAATGCTAGGATTACAGGCATAAGCCACTGCGCCCAGCCTTATATGAGAATATTTTAGGTGATTGGATATATCAGTTCAAATAAATACTTTTAAGAGGACTTCACAATGAGTAGTAATACTTACTACTTGCTCAGTACTCAGTACTATTCCATGTATATTCCATGTACTATTCCATGTATAGGTGAAAAGGTGAAAGAAAGACACAGAAGTGTAGAATACAATCTGTCTCAAGGAATTTACAGATTATTGGGGGGAAAAGCTTTTTTTAACGTTCTCAGTACTATTCTCAGTACAGATTATTGGGGGGAAATGCTTTTTTTAACGTAAAGACCATTACGTAGTATCTTTATCTTCAAATGAGCTTAGTCTACAGTTAACAAATGTACCAAAATAATACCTACAAAACTAACCACTTCATCCTCCAATGAAGTTACCCAGCCCATTTGATTCTACATGATTCTACAAGGGGGCATACATAATGTCTTACATTTATATAATACTTGAATTGCTCAAATCATTTTCTTTTTTTTTTTTGAGTCAGAGTCTCACTGTCACCCAGACTGGAGTGCGGTGGCATGCTCACAGCCACTGCAGCCTCAACCTGCTGGGCTCAGGCTATCCTTCCACCTCAGCCTGCCAAGTAGCTGGAACTACAGGTGTGTACCACCACACCCAGTTAGGTTTTTTTTAATTTATTGTAGAGACGAGGTCTCACCAAGTTGCCCAGGCTGGTCTCCCCTGGACTCAGGCAATCCTCTCACCTTAGCATCCCAAAGTACTGGGATTACAGGCGTGAGCCACTGCACCCGGCTGCTCAAATCAAAATGATTCCTTCCTTTAGACCAGACATGATTGATTTTTTTAATTATAAAGATTAACCCTTTTCTCCCACCCTCATGACTAGTCAATGTTTCTAACTTTATTCTTTGTTCATTTTGGAATTGCCTGTTTGTCATCAGCACTGAAGTCAGTGGATCTACATGAATCTGGAAAATTGCAACACCAGCTTGCTGTGGATTTGGACAGTAATATCAACATCCAGTGGCAAAAACATGGTTACCCCTTGATTGGATCATTGACCTATTCGGTCAAAGAGATTGAGAACATCGCCCGGGTTATTGACAGAACTGGAGGAGAAAAAAATACCGTCCTTGTTATTTCTCTGGGCCAGCATTTCAGACCATTTCCCATTGATGTTTTTATTCGAAGGGTCCTCAACGTCCACAAAGCTGTTCAGCGTCTTCTTCTGAGAAGCCCAGACACCGTGGTTATCATCAAAGCAGAAAACATCAGGGAGATGAACAATGATGTGGAGAGATTTAGTGACTTTCATGGTTACATTCAGTATCTTGCCATAAAGGACATTTTCCAGGATCTCAGTGTGGGCATCATTGATGCCTGGGATATGACAATTGCATATGGCACAAATAACGTACACCCACCTCAATATGTAGTCGGAAATCAGATTAATGTATTTTTGAATTATATTTGCTAGATAACACATATGCCTGAAATTCATTTACTTAACTAAAAAAATCTCAATTGAGTGTCTGCTAGCAGGCCAGATGCTGTGCTTAGCTCCGAACTCTTAATTAGCATAAGCAAAGAATCTATCCTATGGCTCATCCCATAAGCCACCAGTTCAGCAAAATTAGGTATTTCTAATCTGGGCTTCCACTTGAAAATGAAACTAAAAATATTTATGAAAAGAATCTACCCTTTTTGATGAGAGCCATGCCACTCTTCACCAATGGAAGACACCTATGGGCAAAAGTTCTTCTTTTTGACATGAAAATTCAGAGCAATAAAGTAATTGTAAAGTAAATATTTGGAGAAAGCCGACCCATTTCCTTATTTCTACAACTAAAACAAGCTCAAGATAATTTCCAAGTGACAAGAGAAGTCTTCTGAGGCAGTTCTCCTACATAGAGTTCTAAGCAAGGCACCCCAGGTCCTGAAAACTTGAGACTTTTCTCTCTCAATCGGAACTCCCACTACTAGGTTCTAATATGATTCCACAGTGTGTATCATCCATGTTTATTGGATAACACAGGTAAAACCACAGTACTCTAGGATTCAGGGAATTGGGCTTTAGTCCCGTTGCTGCCAGTCATTTTCAGACTTCGGGTTAAGTCATTTCAGCTCTCTGGGCCTCACTTGCCCAAATGAAGGGGTTAGTCTAAGATCTATGATCTTCAAACCTTACTCTGTGTAGGTCTGGGTGTCACAGAGGGACTTTGGGCTCTACCTTGAGGAATAGGAATCAGGAGACGTGCCTGAGGGGCAGAGTAACAATTTCACAACCACGGCTTTAGCCAGAATATCAGCCACTCTTATACATATGTGCATGGACTTGTAAATGAACTTTCTTTTTTCTTTCTCCTTTTTTAATTTTAGAGTTGTGGGTACAAGTGAGGATTGGTAGGCTGCATGCAGGTGAAGTTTGAACTTCTAACTGATCCTCTCTTCCCCTGATAGTGGACCAGGTACCCACTGCGTTGGCACGTGCCGCCCCTCCTCATCCCTCCCTTCTACCCCTAGCAGTGCCCAGCATCTGCAGATCCCACCCTTGTGCTAGTGTGACTAGTGTTCAGGACTCGCTTATGAGTGAGAACATGTGGTATTTGGCTCTTTGTTTCTGTGATAGTTCCAGTTGGTCTCCAACTGCATCCAAGTGCTGAAATTGTAATCCTAGCACTTTGGAAGGCCAAGGCAGGAGGATGGCTTGAGCCCAGGAGTTCAAGACCAGCCTAGGCAACACAGCGAGACCTCATCTCTACCAAAAAAAAATTTCTTTTTCTTTTTTTTTTTTATTTTAGAGATGAGGCCTCACCAAGTTGCCCAGGGTGGTCTCGAACCTGTGGGCTCAGGCAATCCTCTCACCTCAGCCTCCCAAAGTGCTGGCATTATAGGCGTGAATCACTGCACCCAGCCAAAATCTGATTTTTAAATGTTGGACACTAATTAAAACTTTAAGGAAATACTGTCAAAAATGAAAAAAAAAAAAAAGCAGGAAAAGAAAATACCATGTTGACTAAAGAAAACACGTCTGCACACACAGGATTGATTTGTGATCTTTACTCTGGATCACGCCCTGTGTTTTACGATCCAGGAAACACGAGTTTCACCTTGTTGGCATAAAATTTAACATGGACCGCAAGTTCTTTGTTGAGCTGGAATGCCCCTAAATCTACCACTGCTCAACTTGGTGAACTCTCCACGAAGAAACTAGATTTTCTTTTGAAAATGTTTATGACTCAATATTTAGTCCAGCTATAGCAATAAGCCTTGAACCTGCTACATTTCTTATATTTATTTATTTATATAGTAGAGACAGGATCTTACTATGTTGCTCAGGTTGACCTCAAACAACTGGGCTCACATGATCCTCCCAACTCGGTCTCCAAAGTGCTGGGGATTACAGGTGTGAGTCACCTACATAAAGTAATATCTTTTTTTCTTATTTTAATTTTATTTGTTTATTTAGTTTAGAGATGAGGTCTCGCCAAGTTGCTCAGCCTGGTCTCTAACCCTGGGATCAGGCGATCCTCTCGCCTCAGCTTCTCAAAGTGCAGAGATTACAGGTGTGAGCCACCATGCCCGGCTAAGTAATATCTTAAACTTTTATAATTTTTTCAACCTGTTCAAATCCATGCCCCTTTTTGATAAAGATATACAATTTTATGCCTTCCTTAAATATTTTTTGAAATTTCAAAAGCTTTTTAAGTCTCTCACATGTACAATTAACAAACATAGTTTTTGAACTACACATTACCTTTAGAAATTCTGTTATATTTTCAAAAGGAGGCTATCCTCTCTCTTCCCCATCCCCTCCATTGAGAAACTCTGGTTTAATCTAATTCCCTCATTTTGCAGTTGAAGAAACTAAGGTCCAGAAAGTGAAGTAAATTGTCCTAAACAAGGCAGGGTCTAGGGTGAAGCTCGTGAAGGGTATGCCAAGAAACTGAGTGATCAAGGTAAATAATATTTTAATGCAGTATTTTTAGAAATAAAAAATAATGCCAAAAAGATCCATGATGAATCAGGCATGGTGGCTCACACCTATAATCCCAGCACTTTGGGAGGCCAAGGTGGGAGCATTATTTGAGCCCAGGAATTCAAGGTTAAAGTGAGCTGTGATCACTGCACTCCAGCCTAGATGACAGAGCAAGACAATATCTAAAATAAAATAAAAATTCACGATAAACAAGATATCAAAATTTTAAATAAAGAGATACACAATGCCATGCTTAGTCACATTAGAGACTGAGTCTCAAGAAAAAATTGATATTGCTCCTGCCTTTAGTTATGCATTGAATTTGACACCAGTTCTCAAACTTTAGGGAGCATCAGGATCTCTGTGAATTTGCCAAAATTCAGATTCTCAATAAAAAAAAAAAATTTAAATAGCATACAGGCATAGTGGGGCAAGCCTGTAGTTCCAGTTACTTGGGAGGCTGAGTCAAGAGGACTGCCTAAGCCTGGAAGTTCAAGGCTTCAGCGAGCCATGATTGTGCCACTACACTCCAGCCTAGATGACAGAGTAAGACTGACTCAAAAAAAATTAGGAACAGAAATCATATTTTTAAATCATTTTCCATTGATGGCTGAAGCTTTAAAAGAGAAAGAAGAATATCGACATATGTTATTAATCGTACTGTTTGTGTTGCCAACAAACATTTGCTCTTCTGGAAGCTGGACACTGATACTGATACAAGTGGTTTCTGGAAAGGGCTTGGCATGCTTGGAAAAATAAAGATGAATAAGATCTGTTTCCTATCAGAGAAGTATTTATTATCCAACTAGAGGCACCATCTTTTATAGAAAATATGACAGTAATTTACAAGTAAATAAGGGGGCTTCCAGCATAGCCTGAATGTCTATATCCCACACTAAATTTGGCTCTTAAAAATGGCCCTTTAATGGGTTCCCCATTTCCAGAACTAGGTAAAGCGCATATGAACCACATAGTTCTGCATTTAATGTATTGTCTAAATGTTCCATTTTCTTTTTTTTTCTTGCTAAGATGTATATTTAATATCACTTAATTTGTTTTAAATTGTGAGGTTGTTTCTCCTTATAACAGTGACTGTTACAGGTAGTTCTTCAAAAGACTGGATGGATGGATAGCACCATAGCACAGTACAAGTTTTCAAACAGACACACCGTGAACTTGCAAGCATCCTCCTCCTGAATTTTCCTTGGCTAGTTTTGACTCCGATCAAGTTTCTCGTGCTGAGATGAAGTTATACATGGAAAGCTGCCAACTTCCATTTCACAACTGTGCTATTTGAAATCTGATAAACATTTCCTTTTTTGGCAGCATATATGAGTAACAAAAACATTGGATTCCAGCTTCTAATCATTCTTTCTGAATTAAAAAAAATGACATCATAGGGATACAGAAGACTTTACTTCTCATATATAGTATCTGCCATAAATTAAAGTACATTAGAGTGTTATATTTTGTTCCTTTTTCATGGAAAGAATATCCCTCATGGCTTCCTCCACTCAATGAGATGTCAGTCATCTTTCAAGTCCTAGATCTGTGTAGGCATACTCAATCACTCCCTCTTCTGTGCACTCATACACTGTTTTCATATGGCTACCCTATGTTGTGCTAGAAATAGTTTTATATATGTCTGCATTTATACATCTATAACACTACAACTCAATCACACATTTCACAAGGGCAGGGAATTACCTTATTCAGATAGAAAGAATACCCAACTTTACTGGTGAGAATCCATGCATGGAATCCCAGTTACTTTCAAGTTTGCAAGTGCCAGCATGTAACACATGATTGGAACTAAATAAGAAAATTAATAAAAGAACAAATAAGTGTCTTAGGTGACTCAAATGGGGAGAAAGTAAAATTTCAGAAAAGTTTCTTAAGAGACAAAGATGAGTTAGTGGCAGAAAATATGACTCACCCCCTTATTTGTCCTAATGTTTATTGCCTCCTACACTGGACAGCTGTTGTTTTATCCTGATCAATATTCCTAGTGAGTGTCCCCTTTCCCCCACTTTATATCATACTAGTGGAAACGTCAACCATTTACTCCTACTGGTCTATCAAATCACTCTATCCCATGCATAAGTGGTTGTTCCTAGCAGAGTTCACTGGAGTTGTTTGGGGTTTTTTGAGTGTGTGATTTCATATAAATTCTGAAAAGAAATGGGTTGCTCTCATTCTGAGATCTTGAGCACTGATGACTATTTGTGACTTCAGCTCCTTGGGACTATCTTTGCTGCCTTATGAAAAGGATCATCCTGAGAATGAATCTAAGAAAAAAGAGAAGTAGAGTCTAGAGACTTAGAGAGAAGCTGAATTACATTATTTGAACCACTAGATCCAGCCTTATCTGAAGCTAGTTCAAGTCCCAAGATTTTCTAGCCATATGAGTCCTCGAATATCTTTTTTTTTTTCTTTTGCTGGAATGATTGGAAACAACAACTGGAAAGAATACTAGACAATATATTTTTGTAAAATCAACTTGC